GTACAAATAATAGAAAAGCCATAACAATTAATAATACATTGAATATAAACGTTTCGGCCTTTAATATGGCCTTCTTCAGTATAACTTGTTGTTGTAGAATATAATTCAATTGTGCGTGTACGATTATTAATACATTAATTATAATATTAAAGTAACGAAAGAACATTCCATTTTGTCAAATTAAACACCATTAAATAATTTGATTATAATCTTACATCAAGTAACAGTCATATAAGAGTAAGTCTAAAATTCAATTCAAAATTGCAACATATGATATTGTCAGCGATTGTTCCTTTCCCTTTAATTTAAGTTGTCAATTTAGTAATTTAGTATAATTCCTATTTACAATTCATATCTATCTTAATTATGTCGTTATTTAAAATTTTGAGTTCTGTTTCCATTAAAAGATTACCAGAACGTGTATCATAGAATTGTAAGTAAAAGTTCCAAAACTAGAATAATAAATAAAAGATTTCTCATATAATTTTAATAATTACTTATAATAATTTCAATTATTTACCTTAACTTAACATTTTTTCTATTCTCTTCTGAATCAGTTATGGAGGAAGTTACTTGTGGATAGACAACGTCCGTCATTTGTTTCCCTTTTTTTGTCCGATAATTATTCACAAAAAAATGGATTTTTTTTGAAAAAGATTGAAATCTGAGTTCGTTAGATGTATAATAATAAGAACAACATTTTCATTTAAAATGATTTGAATCCTGAGTTCGTTATATATATAAGATGTTTTGAAGCGTATCTCAACTGTAAGGAAGGGAATCTTGGAAGGAGAAGGAAGAGAAGTGGTGGTAAAGTAAATTATTGCCATCTGTTATTTTTACTTAAAAACTATAGACTCATTTACGATTTATTGTGCATTATCGGTAAATAAGCATTAGGCAACTTTTCGGTATCTTTCTGTTCATTTAATCCTCTCTTTTGCTTCTTAATGTGAATCATTTCCGATATGGAACGCCTATAGAAAAAGGGCTCCAAATCCAAAGGATTTAATCTTTGACAATTTGTCTAATGTTGTCCTATCCATCCGTGTCATGAAGCAGCATAATTTTTGTTTTAAACGTCATAGAAAAAACAAGGTGTTTACGAGCAAAAAGATTGTCGTATAGAGCAAATGAGATTAGGGGGATATTTATAATCGCAGAGATATTACAATAGGTCTATATATAACACGGCTATACAAACAAACGATGCGTACGTAAACCGGAATAAGTAAATAAATACGCAATACTGATCGCTTAAAGTGCGAATATCGAAGTATCAAGAATCAAAGACGTGGGAATGATTCAAAACATGCCAAACGGAGTATCAACAGGAAGATGAGAGTATAAATATCGACAAAGAAAAAATTATAACATTATGAAATCATGTAAACATTGTCTTAAAATTTCGAAGATATCTCATAAAACTATCAGAAAAGATTCGTATGACGTCTTTAAGATATTTAGTCTTCTGATTTATGACGTCTTTGAGATTTTATTTTAAGTTGTCTTTAATGTTTTAGCTAGAATCATCTTTTAGGTATTATTATATATTTCGATGATACCATTTAGATATAGTAATATATACGTACAAATGGAAAAAAAAATTAAAAATAGTTCAATGAATCGATATATCAATAATTTAACGTCCATATATTTTAATTATAACAATTTAATATCCATTAGTTGAAAATTTTATGTAGTTGATTATGTTACGTCCTGACGACTTCACGATTCTTTTCTTTCGTGGAGATAACTTATTTCTCAATTGCGAATCACTCGCAGTTCCATGCATGCAATCCCTAAGGTATCAGAGAGTCTATTAGAGAGTCAATAGCGTGACCGATCGAAGATCGATTCTTAACGAAGGAATAATTAATATCACCAAATAACTGTAGATACTAAATGTGTTAATTATCACACGTGTACGCCTAGTGGCAGTATGACTTATAGAAATATGTGTAATTACTTCTATTTTTAGAAAAGACTTTCCCAATAATTCAAAGAAAAATCATTAGTCACCTCTATATTTCGAAACAATAACACTCAAAACAGGGAGAATCACCATCGAATCAAAGTCCAAAGTACAAAAAAACAGCGTACCTTAGGTATGATATATAAGAGCCCTTCGCGAGGACAGTAAGACAGTCGAATATTAACTTAATCGCTCGCGAGACGAAGTGCTGCCCGAATTACTATCATTGGTGCGGAGTTCTCGCGATCAAGCGCGTACCACCAGCTGGCGGTCCAATTTCACCATCCCGTTTAAGGGAAGCGCTGAGAAGCCAACTCCGACCGCTGATCTTGCGAGGACTCCTCCCACAAGGACTCATTAGACTTTCTCTCTCTCTCCGCCAAAACCGTGAGTAACTACTTCTTCCGCGAGAATCTAAAATTCGCAAACACCCTCTCTTTTTTTTTGCAATCGCTTAAGGCGATGCTAAAGCCCCCCTGTTTTACCACATTCCTATTCGGTGGGATTTCTCCGTATTGGATGTACGGATTGCAAAAGTATTATTACTTAAATTATAGTACGCACACAGAGGATGTTTGCT